GTAACACATTACATTATCTTCTTTCCGTTCATATGATTTATTACTTAAATATTATTATTTAAATATTATTTATCTATTATTATTTCTTTATCGTTTCTCTATATAAAGGCTGGTCAAACTATGGTCGCTTGTTCCCGCCAGATGATTTTATACGGTCCCAAGACCATAAAAAACAGTGCATATTTTTTTAAAAGTCTATTATAAGAATTTTGCTTTGAGTTGTTTTACGGTATATTAACCTCAATGGGTTATTTAATGCCGACAAGATTTTTATGGCTAGCAATATTTTTTCCCAAAAATGTATTGATGGTAATATTTTTCCCCAAAAATGTATTGCTGGTAATATTTTTTCCCAAAAATGTATTGATGGTAATATTTTTTCCCAAAAATGTATTGATGGTAATATTTTACCCCCAAAAGTATTGATCGTGTTAAAACCTATTTTTACACTTTTATAGTGTTTTGACCCCTTTTTGGGGAGTTAACTATTTACCCATAGCTGGGACCCTAACAGGTACTACCACATCAGGTCAGGGTGGACCTGGGAACACCAGCAATTAAGAGGTGGTTCCACGCTGCTCAAAACATCCTGATCAGAGGCCTTGCTGTTGGATGTAGTTTATCGTCTTACCCAGAACACAAGAATTTTGGTATTTTGGGGTTGCATGTTACACAAAATAGCAATCTATTCCAAACAGGAAAAATGAGAACAAAAATAGAAATCAAATAAATGCTATATTTATTTTATTTTCATTAAGAAAATCCCAAAATAGATCTCAGCTAACATGCGTACCTCCGAGAGATCGCTAAAAGAAAGAGCATAGCATGATGAAAAAGACGCCAAACTTGACGAAAACAAATTTTTTATCGTCTAAATGTTTATATTATTATTAAGAGGAAAGAACAAAGTATTTTTTAATTATTTAAAAAAAATGTTTTTCTTCTTTTTAGAACATTCTAACTTTTGATCACAAAACCTTCTTTCTCTTTGTATCAGCGGAAGTATTAAACATAAAATTTTAGCACGTTTTTTTTGTATGACAGATATTAATTTGGAAAATCTTTCAAAAATAAGAATAATTGTCGGATGTTAATTAAACTCACACAAACTATTAAAAAATGATGAAAATTATTATAAATATATTTTCTTTTTTTAAAGTCATGGCAAAAATATATTTTTATATTTATTACCCTCCCACCCACATAACTAATTTTATGAAAACTCTAGAAATTCAATACCAATCAGTTTAGTGATTATATTAGTTAAAAGTACAAGGCTTTGATGAAAGCAAATCATGAATTTTTTTAAATTGGACTTCCCCTACCTGAAAATCAGCTCTGAATTGTAACATACAAAACTCAATAAAACAAAGATATTTAATTTCAAATGCTTTTAGTTGCCTTTAGTTGCTTTTATGAATATGGATAATATTGTCTGAAAACAAAAAACTTTTTCGATGAAAAATTAATTTTTAATACAATTATTTGTTATTTCTTAATTTTTTTTTATTATTTTTACATTAAATTTGTTAAAATATTTTAAAATTAGCGAAAACGGCATTCAGTTTAGTCAATGGTGTTATTAAATAGATTTATCTTTTAGCATTATAAGTTGTACAGCTTATAACAGTCAGAAGAGCCGAACGGTATAAAATACTTAATTCCAGTTGGCTTTTGTGTCCATAAAACGGCTGTAATTCAAATGTACGGAAGACCAGCAAGAATACAATAAAAACTCGCGTTATTTGAGTTAAGCGTTGTTCTCCGCTGCTAGGGCCTTTATTTTTACGAAAAACGTGCGGAGAAGTTAATTTGATTTTTCAATTTCAACTGAGAAAAGTACCTACAAATATTAGTATCATTCCATGAAATTTATATGATCTTATTTTTATATTATCTCAGTGATGACATTTTTCCATAAATGAAATATCAAAATTAATAATAAAATGAATGGAAATACAAATAACACAGTAAAATGTAATAAATGTACATACAATTATAGTATTTTATGTACATTTACTTCTGATAAAATTTCATAAGGTACCTATAAATTAATTAGATACCTTTCTTATGAAATTTAATCTCACTCTCAACTGTCTTATTTTAAGTTTTTATAATATTTTCCATAAAGCATCGTAAACGTAAAGGTGAAACCTAAGTACAAAAAAAAAAAAAAAAAAATAAAATAGAGCGCTGAAAGTTTTTCTTAAAAATAACGAGGTAAATAAGTTGGTTCACTTAAAACTAAATAATTATGACTCTTCTGTCCTTCTGTACGGCAACTTTCCCTTACGTAAGCTGTCAATACATGATAAAATTGTCACTTATCATTTGTCAAGTGACAGCAAATGTTATGCTCTGCTTTGTCTTATTTTTAAACTACATCTTTTTGGCGCAAAATCGAAGTAATTCTAGTTTCCAGATATTTTAAATAAACTTTAAAATTTCTAATTTTCTTAAAATAAATATATATAATACAGAATGGAAAAAATGGTTGACATGATCGATTATCTGTCAATTTTGCTGACTCAAAGAAAAAAAGATTTTTAACGAAAATTTCGGACATGTTAGGAATGATTAAAAAATGTAAAAAAATACCCCCAAAATACTTTGATCTTTCCTCTTAATAATAAGACAAACATTTAGACAATAAAAAATTATTTTTATCAAGTTTAAGGCTCTTTTTATTCACGTTATGCTCTATTTTTAGCGATCTCTCGGAGGTACCTAAGCTAACAGATTTGAATCTGCAATCTGTCTTGTGTACAAGTTGACTCCTAATTATGAAAAATCTTCTCAGATGCAGAAATTTCATCATTAGCAATCAATGTATTAAATATGAAACTAATTTCTTATATATTTGTGCAATCTGTTCTCAAAATGTGCCTAATAAACAAATTAATATAGAAATAAGACACGCGCGTATGAATGTTATTTACGCTGTTGTTTTAAAACTCGTGTTGTTATTGTGGTGCAGCCTACTTTACTCAGGGTCGACTATGATGAGGCCTTCCGCGCGAAAAATTTTACCCACCAATATTCTATATTATTACTTAAATATTATCATTTCTCTAACGACTGTCTACGTCTGTTGATCTTTTAAAAGGGCGGAGTATTCAAATTCAATAATACATTTATTTAAAAAAATAATAATGTCTTACGTTTACTTTTAGAAGGAGGCGATTTTAATCGTCGCGAAATTCGGTAGCAATTTTGAATTAACCTAAAAGGCATGGATAGCGGTTCGAATTCCAGTCGAGTTCGTGGCATTCATTTACGTGCAAATGCCCTAGGAAAAAGTTTCGAATTTATCTCTTCTACTCCCATTTATAGATAAATAGCAGGACAAAGTGGGTCTTATAGCCTTGGTTGGCGACTAGTCTAGGAGAAAGAACAAATCTGGACTCAAACCAGTCTGTAGAGGGATAGGTTCCGTCAGGTTATCTTGCTCAGGACTGCAGTACATGTAGTGCCCTTACGACCCCTTTTCAATGAAGTTATTCTAAAACAGAAAATAAAGTTTTTTATTAATTTAGGTACCTTCATGAGATCGCTAAAAAGAGTATAGCATGACGAAAAAGAGGCCAAAATTGACGAAAACAAAACTTTATCGTCTAAATGTTTGTGTTATTATTAAAAGGAAAAATCAAAGTATTTTGGGGGTATTTGGTGCTAAAATTTTATGTTATTTTACTAGTTCCGGTGATACAAAGAGAAACAAGTTTTTTCTTAGTCAAAATTTAGAATGTTCTAAAAAGAAGGAAAAATTTTAAAAAAAAATAATTAAAAAATACTTTGATTTTTCCTCTTAATAATAACATAAACATTTAGAAGCTAAAATTTTGTTTTCGTCTTTGGCGTCTTTTTAATCCTGCTATGCTCTGTTTTTAGCGATCACATGGAGGTACCTAGATTAATTCTATTCCAATAAAATGTTCATAAATCTCGTTCAGCCCGACATTCTCACACTCCACAGTCTACGTCTGTTCATAATTTTTATTCACTGAACAGCAGTCATTAAAAACATTGAAGTGTCTCAGCAGTGTGAAACTTAACACCGTTAAAGATTTCTTACGTGGGAAAACATGAATAATAAGCATTATTCGCTGGGGTTGTCCATCGATGACGTCAGTATATACGCTACCACATTCCTCATGTCACTGCACCTTTCTTTTTGTTTTGTGTTAAAGTATCGGTTTTAAGGTATGACTGTAAATCTCTGAACCATTTGTTGAAATCTTTAGGGCTCAAACAAAAATAAAACATTTTAAAGAAGTTTTTTTTTCTAAGAAAAAATATTTCTATTTTTTTGGCAGTTACATTGTAAGCTTTCGCTTGATCGAGGTGACATTGTTACCGAATTTGAATATTAATTTTAATCTATTTTTATTTTCATTTTATATTTGTTGCTATTTTTTAAATCACACCGCCAAGTTAAATCTATATTCTAATAATGTTAAACAAACTGCATGAAACGAAAAATTAAAGTTTTCTCGTTACAGAGATGAAATTTAAATTTTTATTATTGTATTATTCCAAAATGTTAGCACATCAGCAGATAGCTATTAATGTCAACAACTGAGCACAAATAGTTATTAATTAAAAAGATTAGTAATTAATGTCTAATATTACCCATAATTACATGTACAAGAATGTCGTTTTTGATAAAAGTTAAAAAATAACCATAAATACATCAAAAATGCATATATTGTTGAAAATTCCTTTTTCCACAATATAGCTATATGTGTTATGTTATAATGCTTATTACCTAAACAATAATAATACGGAATAATATTTTTTTAAACATTAATGTATATTTAATCACATCTTCCTAATAGCTGTCACGATCTGTAAACATCCATTCATTATATTTGCGAGCCTGTCTTACATTGAAGAGTATTCCACAAGCAAGAAGTGCGATAGAAGAAGTAGTTAACATAGAACTTAGTTACATTTCAACTGTAAAATGAAGAGATCTAACTGCCAATCTAGTACTGCGC